ATTGCAGGATTACTCACCCAGAATAAATACATAAGTAACAACATAATGATATTATTCAATAAATAACATTTTCGACAATGAAGAAATATTGTCTTTGCTGTGACCATTGGCTGGTGTAGCCCTGGACTTTTCTTGTGCATCTTAGCATCCATTATCATAACAATCTGAAAGTTTTAAGAAAAAAACAAAAACATAACATTTAAAATCTATTTCTCTCTCTCTACTCATTCAGCGTCGTCTCCTCTCCCGACCAGAAACAACTTGAATGAAACTGACACAGAAAACAGGACAACAATGAACACGACTGGTGGGAAACGATTCAGGAGAACAGCTGTTATATGAATCCATGACTTTGATCATTTGTTTTTGTGACTGAAGTCTTAAGTTAATTAATGTGTCTTCACCATTTCTTCTGTTTTAATCTTATCTTTCTTATTACAGAATCACCAACATCGCATCCACCCGATAAAACCAGAAACGTCTTGAACGTTACCGACTCTGCGAAACTACTCAACACACAAATGCAGCCTGGTAAAGAACTATTTAGAGCAGCAGAGAGACTGAAGAAAAAAACTTCCTATTGGTACTCAGTAATAATTACTGCATTATTTCACAAGCACTCAAGGGGTCAAACCACACCCACCTTAAAACATGGACTTCATGTTGATCTCAAATACACTCCTGTAAAGTCTCATCTGTGCATCTTGCATGGTTGCAATTCTGTGGTTTGCCTTGGGCCACAGTCTCAGGAACACATTCTAACGTGATCACAAACACACAGACTCACGAGGTGAAAGCAATGCCAGTATATTTTAAACTCAACATCAATTTCTCTTCTACACTCAGAATCATTCCATTCGCAACACAACACAAACGCCTTGAATGAGACCAACACAGGAGATGTCACAGAGGCACCGTTAAAATTATCAACAGGTGAGAACAATGTTTAAATTGTAATCATCAAATACCCCATGTTTGTTGCTTGTGTCACAACTAGAGGCTTTGCATAATAATATAAGTCTTTGAATATATATGATTTTATTCTACAGCTCTACCTTATGGAGACTTGGGTCACACCAGTGATGCCTTCAAACACAGTGGAAATATCAGTCATACAACATATCTCAATGGTGAGAAACTGTCAAACTCTATGTCCAGTATTTATTATCATTATACTGACCAATTAATAATGCAAACATTTTAAATGGATGTTACTGACAGTTTGCTTTTATTACATCCTATTCCACATTTATTTCTTCACACTCTTAAATACTAATGTTGAGATACCTAAATATTATCAGTGAAATCAGACTCTACTGTATGACCACACATATAGTTGACCTCTTTCTGTTTTAGTTTCTACAGAGTCAGTTTCTCCTCAACCAGACAACAGACATGGGTCCTGGATTGAAACCAACACGAGGAATGTTACAGAGTCTCCAGTTGAAATATTATCAGGTTTGGAATACTGATACTGGATCTCATTCATGAAACACACATATGTGACAGGAACATCAAACCATGTTATCTTTCTTTCCACAGTTTCACCAACACCACGTGCAGCTCATGAAGCCGCTGATGTCATGAACTTTACAAACTCAGAGAGGTTGACAAACATAGATAAGAAAACTGGTGAGCAATTGTTTCAGTTAATGGAAAACGTCATTAACTCATGAAGTGGTTCAATACCAGAAAAAGTATTAATGACTTGTAATCCTTTGCTAAAGATAATGTTATGGCATGGCTGTGTTTTAGAATCTTGACATTTATAGTCAGATTTTCAAACTCTCTTTTCTATTCTTGTGCAATCCTCTTTTTGTTCTTTTGCTCTGTCAGTCCATGTGTCATCAGAGGGAACAAACGTTTCTTGCTTTTGGACCCATTCCTCAAAAATGACCTATTTTTACTTTATTTATGTTGGGAGGAAATGAAAGGCATCCTGTTTATTCACTTACGCTCACATGAAGTATGCAGAGAAGGATTTTAGATTGAAACACTGAAGTGGTGGAAGAAGTATTCAGATTCTTTACCGGACTAAAAGTATCAGTACAATATTTAAAAAAAA